AATTGTTGTTAGTTATATTATAGACCCATATAAACCACCTGCAGCCATAACTTGTAGTCAAGTCTCAGGGCAGGCGCGGCTGGAGGGGGTGCAGGAGGAGTCACAGACGTGGCAACAGCAGTGTGAGGACCTGGAAGAGCGCCACTGCCATGGCAACAATAACAACAACTACAGAAATCACAACGTAACGCTTCTTACAACCTTCACGCCCAGCTCGCTAAGACCCTGCAACAGGTGAGTAAAGAGGGATGAAGAAGAATGGTATTTTAATCACGTCAGTGTGAGTGACCGAGCGAACACAAAGAAAAGCAAAACTCGTGACTTTGTGAAGGACAAATTCTGCTATGCTGACTTTCTCTATATTCCCTAGAGCAGGGGTCCTTAACCTGGGGTCCATGGACCCAAAAGGGGTCGGATGGGCTTCAGGGGGTCCGTGAAGGTCAGATAAAAATTTAACATTTATATTCACTATATTTTTATATTAAGTTGTTCGATTTTTTGTCAATATATACCAGATGTTTTGTATGTATTTTTGGTTACTGAAAAACCATGTAAATCTGTAGGGTGGCGTGGGATGCTACTGTACACGGTCGGTAACATACCGTCATCGTCGTCAAGTGTTTACTTTATTCATGCTTTGACGTCATCTTGGGGCGTAATTTTCAATAAAATAAAGTATATTCATTGCATGCAAGTTGTGTTTATGTGCTTATGTGCATTTTTCTGGGAGGGTCCATAGCTTTACCAGATTCTCCAAAGGGGTCCATTGACTCAAAGGTTAAGAACCACTGCCTAGGTTTTATCTTATAATTTTTAATTGCTAGGTATTAGGTATGTAATTAATTTTCGCTTTACGCACTTAAGGACCTTAGTTATTGAAGCGCAGTAATAACATTTATAACAACAGCTTTTACTAAAAAATCCCCTCACTATAAAATCAACTTATTATCAAGTGATGTCGCGAATACAATCGGTAAAATGCCTGCAGTAACCTTAACCTCCTTGGTGCAGGTGGAGAGCCTGAAAGAAGCGATGACGTCCACCAAGATGGAAAAGAGAGCAGCTGAGGAGGAAGCAGGCCACGCCCACGAGCAGGTCCTCAGTTTGATCCGGGAGTGTAACGCGCTGGAGGAACAGGTGAGTGGTTGGGTCTTCTGTCGTCTGACGGACGGACACACACACGCACATGCATAACAATAGTAACAATAACAATAGTTCACTAGTACAGTACTACGAGTCGTACTGTTATTACTACCAACGAAAATTATAATTGTAAAATCAAACAATTTCAAGTGTAAGATCATCTCTGCGTAAATATACTTCTCGCATCAGATTCACCGCTTGACGAAGGAGAAGTGTCGTCTCCAGGAGCAGTTGTCGAGCCAGGAGATGGACCTCACCAAGTCTCGCGACGACGCCCAGAACTGGACCAGCTGGCCCTTAAAACTGAGAGGGTGGTTGCCCTTGAGCAGCAGGTTAAGCTGGCAAAGGTACAGTACCTGGACACTTTAGGGTCATAACAAAGTTTTAAGGAGTCCTAATATGCCACGCTTGGTTGGGGCCTATGGAGAATGGAGCTAAGATACCCAAATTCTTTTGCCTAAGTTGGGTTAAGTTTAGTCTCTAATGTTAATGGTTAAGTTAGGTAGGGCCTATTTAGATTGAGGCCATTTGACTTGTCACCTCTATGCAAACACCTTCAAGAGTACTAACTTAGCCACCACTGCTCTTTTTAACAGCAAACGAACGAAGAGAGCCTGCAGGAGGAGACGCGGGCGCTAGAGAAGGAGGTGAGATCTCTGAGGACACAGCTGAACGAAGCCCAGGCGGAGGCACGCAGGCTCAAGGCTCAAGTGACGGGCAGTGCTCTCGACGGACGGGTAAGGTGACAGCATTATGTGTTGGTAAAGCACAAACTAAGCATGATCGCTATCCATTAATCCTCACACGAAAAAAAAAATCGTTTGAATAACATGCATCAGTTAGGTAAAGAAAAAAACACTTTTAACCTTGAATTTCATTGTAAAGTAAACATGAGTTTTCCTTTAGAATGGTGAATTATTTTTACTTACAGTTCCTCCCAGATTTTGATGAAAGAAAAAAGAACAATTTTACTGCATATTTATTCTGTTTTGATTATGTGTATATTATAGGATATTCGTTTTATTTTTATCGGACGGAGTCTTACTGCGTACTATCACTATTTTTTTTTTTTTACATAGCTATAATTATAATGAAGCCTCGTAATTTTACATCGAATATTTCTCCCTCCTTTACTGTATATTAGTTTTACACCAAAGATTTACTTCTCCACACTTTTTGTTTTATTCTTAACGTTGCTTCAAGTCTACTCTGTACTGTACTTCATATTTTATTCTTAACATGGCTACGTCGTATTTTTTTATTCATAACAATACTTTGACTATGTCCTTGTTGTATCTCTGTGTTTCAACCATTTAGGCCCAGTTCTCTGATAACTTGTGAGGTTTATCATCAGTAAAACTAATACTATGTAATAAATGAGGCGTCGAGTGCGACAAGGGGCCAAGCGCCAAAAATCACAATCGAGAAAAACGTTCTTAACGTTTGGAAAATTCAAAATGACGTAACTTTTGAACCAATGAAGATATTAAGCTCATTCAAGTGGCAGTGCGTAGAGATAACTTTCACTGGTTTCTGCGCATTTCTCGAATAAATTGTTCAGAAGTTGTGTTTCTTACCTAAATGTTCTTTCCAAAAAGCTGATGAGAATTTCTTAAAGGTAAAACACAGTTATTTCCCCTAATTTATTTATTATACCACTCAACAACTTCGGTAAATTAAGAACATCACTGAACTTTTCTGACTAAGATGTCAAAAGTGGGCAAGAGCTGAGTCGAAAGGCAAATTCTGGTTAGAGCATAATTTCTGATCACTTATTTCAAACTCGTATTTGATTAACCCTAAATTTCAATGTTAAATTTCTACTCTAGATTAATTTTGCCATCAAGATATTTGTTGCTGTCATCATTATTATTTCACAAGTTTAATTAATTATTTATGATATGTATTTATGTTTACAATAAAGTTCTTCACGTAACATCAACTAAATAAAATCATACTTTGGACTTCCAGTATATATTATTTTCTCATTAATATTTCATTGATTCACCAAACGCTTGAGTTCACATTTCAGGGGTTGTACTGTATCATGTGTTATGTTCCGTGGTGCTGGTGGTACGGTACAGTGGTAAGGATGCTGATAGTACAGTGACAAGGGTAAAAATACACTAATGAAGACTTCTTATTGAATAGTACTAATAAACCTTGTAGCCGAATCACCACAAAGACAGTAACAGTATTATAATAATAACCAACTAATAGTAATAATAATAATATAAATAATATCGTCTAACAGGGGCATTGTTTTAGTGCAGAGAGTGTGACGTTCAGTAGTATTCCTAACAAGACAACTTGGCTTCCATACAAGCTAGATTCATTTTAATGGTGCATTCTTACTAACACGATGCGTTCTACATAAACTGAACTTTAACATTGTGCGTTTTTGATGTCTTAACGATGCGTTCTATAAAAGCTGGGCTATTTAACACTTCATTTGAAACTTTTCACTTAGTTATTTTTATTAACACGATACGTTCTACGACACCGGGACATTTTTTTTAACATTATCCGTACTTCATAGGGATCGCGGGGTCAGAGGCTGGGATGGACGTGGGACTGAACCAGACAGCAGCAGCGACCAGGTGTGAGGTGACGACGGCAGGCGGGGAGGCGACCCAGGCCAGGAGAGCACTGCTGGAGCGAGACACCCACGCCAGGGTTACCCAGCTCAAGCTTAGCACCCTAGAGAGGTCACTACAAGACCGACAGCACGAGGTGTGTGTGTGTGTGTGTTGGTCTCACTTTATTACCCTTCATTGACTCTCAAACTGTCCCAATCTCAGGTCACGTTTACCTCTCACCTAAGTCATCAAATTGTGTCTTCAATCTGGATCCCCTTCGTCGTTCTCTGTCTTTCACCTTCACTTCCTTGGTTATCATCCTTCTTGCCCTTTCCCCTCACGCATTAACTTATTTCACCTGATGATTAAATACCCTAATGCTATCTAGGGGTTAGGTGAGGTTAAGTTAGGTTAGATTGTATTAGGTGAGGTTAGGTCATCAAGTGAAATGAACGGAGGTGCCTAATCTTCAGGTGATTAAAAGAAAGGATTGAACTGATTGTACACACACGACCACAGGCAATACAGTACTCACTTTGTCTTCCCTTAGGTGACAAGCCTGGAGGAGAGACTACAAGACTCTCACACGGAGACTCACCGCCTGGAGACTGAGACCGCCCATCTACGTGCCCAGGTCGCCATGCTCTCCACCCAGCTCTCTCATGCCCACGCCCACAAGAATACCAACGCTCACCAACACCCTGACGATAACAGGGTAAGTAACGTTGACTCTTGTTAGGTGAGGTTGTTTATTTTTTATCCATTTCATTATTATATCTATTCTTATGTTTTCATTAAGCACTATAATTAATTAATCCAGCCCACAGTTAATTAACCCATCAATTAATTAATCCACTCAGTAGTTAACTAATCCAATCAGCAGTTACTTAATGTGGTCAGAATGTAATTAATCCGGTAATTATTTAATCCAGCCAACAGTTAATCAATTCACCTTCTGAAGTTGTGCCTGAGTCATAATTAACTCCTGTACCTTGCACCTCCACTCTACCCAGGTGGAGGAGCTTGAGGACAGTGTCGAGGCTTAAGGGCGAGTTGGCTGCCATGGAGGAACAGCTCAAACAGGTAAGTCAAGTGTTATGTTAAGTAGACGGATGGGTAGATTAGATAGATAGTTAGTCAGGTAATAGATATATAGATTAAATACTGTATATAAAGAGATAGATATATGGTGACGTAAGTGGAGATATACAGATTGGAGATAAATACATAAGTGAAAAATGTATCAATAAATGGACTTGTGGATAGATGAAAGGATATACTAATTAAATAGAGAGAGTGAGTTAGTGAGACAGAATAAGAGGGAGGGCAAGAGACAGACAGAGAGAGCAAGAGAGAGGGTTAGATCCGATACAGTACATTAACTTACAGTCCATCAGTCAACCAACACCCTCCTCCTCTAACCTCCTGCAGGCCTGTGACCGTGAGACAAGAACGACCCAAGAACTGCAACTTGAAATCACCACACTTACCAGGACTCGTGACGACGCCCTCAGAAAGGTAAACTAACAAAAAGTAAAATAACGTTTCCTATCTTTCCTTAAACCATAACAAACGACGTCTATTGGATGTCTAAATTAAAATAAGCTTCATAATTACGTTTTTATCACATAATGAACGAATTATTAAAATATTATGGATTAGTTTTGTTATGGAGAGTAGAAATGTAATTAAACCTCTGATCCCCAAGCACTTATATTTATTTAATCTTTAACCTTCAAGAGGATTAAATAAGAGTCGCCTTTTTCAAGTATACATAAAACATATAATACGCTATAGCTATAAACTATTACATCTTAATAACGAGCTTTAGTTATACCACAAAGATGTTAAGTACAAGATTTAACGAGCGGTTATGTTGTGGTACATTTAAACGCAGCAATTTCGCGTTTTTTTTTATTATTATTAATTTTCCCCCATGTATTTAACGATGAGGGAATGTATATATATATATATATATATATATATATATATATATATATATATATATATATATATATATATATATAGATAGATAAATGCTTCATAAGTTCAAGTACAGGTGTTGTATATCATAAAAAAATACTTAACGGTGTGTGTTTATGTGATAGATCGAGATAGAGATTCAGTATATATTTTTTTGCAGAATAAAGTGAAACCTCAATTTAACGGATTACAGGAGAGGCATTTTGTTATATCGAGGGGTAGCCATTAGATATGAAACCTCCATCTAACGAACTCAATAGAGGTGAAAGTTCATTATAACGAGGATCCGTTAGATGTGTACCCCCGCCAACTAATGGATTATATGGAAGAGCAATCCGATATATGGAGGTTTTACTGTAGCACACACACACACACACACACACACAATGAATATCGAACCTGACGTGAGTTCACTAAATTGAGACATTATCCATGAAGTCAGGATGTCGAACCAGGAGTTTAAGAATGCGGTACAGTATTTCATTCTCTTGCAGGTGATGAGTTTAGATGCGTCATTAGGAGAGTCTCAAGAAACCGTGGAAGCTACCAAGGTGCTGGAGAGGCTGTGGGAGGCTCAGTTAGCCACCGTGGAGGAGGAGATGGCAGGCTCCTGTAGACTAACCAACTCAAAGATTGTAATGGTGCCCTCCACGACCAGGTAAAACTCACGCGTTTGAGGGTGTAGGGGAGAGTGTTTGGGTGGGGAGAGTATGTGGGGGTGTGGGAAGTATGTGGGGGTGTGGGATGTATGTGGGGGTGTGGGATGTATGTGGGGAGTGGGGAAGTATGTAGGAGTGTGGGAACAGAGTGCATGTGGGTAGGGAGAGTATTTGAGTTGGGGGGTGGGGGGAGTGGGAAAAGTGTGTGTTGGGTGGAAAGCAGAGTGTGTGTGTGTGTGTCTCTGGGTGGAAAGAGTGCGTATGTGAGGGGTGGGAAAAGTGGGTTGGTAGGAAGATGGTTGTGTGAGAGTAGGCTAAAAAATAAATGTATGTTAGTGTTACGAAGATGTAGAGTAGTGAGGGGTAAATGAGGAGGATGTGGAGAGGAAAGGAGAGGGGAATGTAACGATATTCGAAATAGAAAGAAAAAAGAGAATATTCACAACATGTTAGTGAAGCTTCGATTAATATCACGCATTTGTCTCCCTCCCACACAGCTGTCTGGGAGAGAGAGGAGATAGACGCGCTCAGGGGCCAGGTGAGATCGAGAGAATTACAGGTAGAGGAGGTGCAGCAAGCCAGAAACCTACTTGCCAACGATGCTCAGGTAACTATTTCTTCACACCTGCCTTCCAGTTCACGCTAAGTCAACTTTTATCTGTGTGTCTGTGACTTTTCTGACTATCTATGTCTATTTCTACTTTTGTATCTAATTCCTCTCTTTCTCATCAATATCTAAACCTGTGTGTCATATTAAACTGCTTAGTTTTCATTAACATCCTACTAACACGGATATAATGACTGACGTTAATGATCAACGCCTCATTAATCGATACCTCGTTAATTTCATAACGTGTACTCATGTGATGATAAAATGCACCTGTAACAGACACTACACATGCACAAAAACACACATACTGTACACATATACGCTTAGCACACAGGTTACAAAATATTGTAGTATTTTAACACTTTTGAACACCTGATATAACTAACCCCTTAGTTAAGACCTCCATAAAATATAGCCTGAAACTTAACTATATTATTACCTGCCATTCTGGTATCAATATCATAATCATCCAAATGTTCCTCCATTATTGTAATACTGAAACTTGTAAAGCCACAGTATAAGTTAAAACAATGTAATATAGGTTAATACAAGTCATTATTATGGTAATATTAGTCAGAAGTATGTCAGTATAAATTAAAAAAAACTTTGTCAGTATAAGGCAGTAATTGTCAGTATAAGGGAATATTAGTCAGTATAACAGCCCACAACTGTCTCAGGTGGTGGTGGCATCAAGCAGTGGTTACACGAGCAGAAGTCGGCCAATAGCAAGCTAGCAAGCAAACTACACCAGCAGAACAAGCAGATTCTCCTCCTCAACACAGAGAAGCAGTACGTGTCTCAGTATGAGTAATATAAAGTGGTATGGAGAATGAATACATACATAAAAACATTCAAGGTTCACCGTATTATTTTAATTTTGTTGGTGTAATTTTTCGTTTGAATATAAAAACTAGACGTTTGAGTGTGTGTGCGTGTGTATGTGGATATAAATGTCAGAATGTGTGTCTGTTTATAAATGTACAGTATCTGTAAACGTATGTATGCTTGTTTAAAGTATATGTTTGTTTGCATTTCTGTATATGGCTATGAACGTCAGTATATGGAGATGTATCTTATTGTCTTTCTGCATGTATTCGTAACTTTGTATGTATGTAACGTATGTATGTCTGTTGTGTTGTTGCAGGTTCCCAAGCGTAACACCAGCCTACAGCGCAACAACCACGAACTCTCCCTCCAAGTACACGACCTCCGCGCCAGACTAGGTTTACCCCTGGCCTCTACCCCTCCTGAGGTAAATGTCATTCCCTGTAAATTACCATACATGCCTTTCAACACGTCTCCTATTTATAGCGGTCCGACTAATTACACCAAGTGTACCCAAATGTTGTGTTAGGTTAGGTACATGCACTCGATCTATTAACTCGGATTAAATTAAGTTTACCAATTTTTTGTGACTTCGTGACACCAAATACTAGTCGAGGTTAGGTTAGGTACATGCACTCGATCTATTAACTCAGATTAAATTAAGTTTACCAATTTTTTGTGACTTTGTGACACCAAATACTAGTCGAGAAGTGATTGGCAGTCCGATTTATTCATGTAGGACCATTATTTGACTTCATTGCGGCTACATTTGGGTAATTAGTCGGACCCCTCCTATAGTAATAAAAGTGCCTCGTAGCGTATGATAACTTGATCTTTTTTGGTACGATAACAATTTCTTGAGGTACGAACGATGACGTAACTCTGAGTATGATAACACATTGAATACTATAACTTCATCTCCTGAATTCAGTACCTCAATCCCTTGAGTATAATACTGTCAACACTTGAGTATGATAACGTAAACTCTTGAGTAGGATAACCTAAACCCTTACATATGATAACAAACCTTTTGAGTAAGGTCACTAAACCACCTGGAGAACTTCTTAAACCCTTGAGTAGATAACTGAGCCTTTGAGGTAAGCTAACTAAACCCCAACACTAAGATAATTAAACCTCTTGAGTACTAAATCCCCCGAGAATTAAAAATTTACCCTTTGAGTACAACAACAACCTTCAGTACGGTAATTTAATCTTTTGATTATCGTCATTTTCACACTTTCCTCACAGAAACTGGGTAAGGTGGGCGGGGTGATGGTGGGCTGCTTGTCTTCCCCGAGCCTGGATGTGTCCCCGACTTTTGGCGTGTCTACCAGGACCTCCATAGACAGTGTCCTTGGCCTCCCTGTACCGCTGGACACCAAGCACGAGGATGTCCTTAGTGTAAGTATTGACTATTAAGGACGGACATATATTTGGGTAGGCCACGGTTTATTTATTTAGGACATAAGCCAGTATAAAAACGATAAATCTTGAATATATTTATCTTAATCACCCATACACCCGTCTAGACCAACTGATTGATTTGTGTTATTTTCTGAGTGAGGAGTTTTCAGCTTGGCTTATTATTGTCAGCATATCAAATTCCTTTGGTTTTCACTATGCTGGTATGAGAGAATAATAAATATGACAGAGATACGATAAAATACACGATTAAAACAGAGATATGACTAAAAAACTCAAAAGGAAAACATCAAAGTCAATTAAAAAATATTACTATGTTTAACCAACTTTGAAAAAATCCCTTACACGCAAAAGTGCACTCATCCATGTCAGGTTGGGCTGGCATTAGGCGGACTACACGCAACACAGAACATTCAAGATGACGTGACTTACCTCGAGTTTATTATTGGCTACTTGTTCTCACTCGGTTTTGTTTTTTCTCTCTCTTCTCGCCTCCACAAATATCTTAATCGAGTACATGAAGGTGTGAGCTGGACTCTTTCAGGATTTGTGGGACGAAACCCATATCTGACTTTTTTTATACCATCTAACTCGTCATTGGACAAAACTCGGAGATAAATTTTTTCACTGGACAAATTTCTCACCCAAAATAATTAAAAAATAAAAATATTTAATCAGTTGAAAGGTTTGTTTGGTTTTGTTACGTCATGTTTAAGTTAGTTGTGTCAGAATTGGTTAGTTGAGGTTAAGTTTGTTAGATTAGATTAGGTCTGATTATTTTAGATAGGGTTAAACTAAACAGATCCTTTAGGGTAGATTGACGTGGCTTAAGTAGGTTAACGTTAAATTAGTTTTGGGTACGTTAGATTTAAATTGGTTAATGTAAGTGGGTTAGGATAGTGACATAACAGTTCGGTTAACGTTTGATTAGCTTAGGGTAGGTTAACAATAGATTAGGCTAGGGTAGGTTAACGATAGATTGGGTTAGGTATGGTTAACAATAGATCAGGCTAGGTTTGGTTAACGATAGATTAGGTTAGGGTAAGTTAACGTTGGATTAAGTTAGGGTAGTAAATTAAGCAAGGAAGGTAAACATTAACTAAAGTTTGGTGTAAACATTAACTCGAGTTTGATTTAATTACGTTTTGGAGTTGCCTTTAGGTGCGAATTTGTCCTCCAGTTGCTCAGTTGTTCTTACCCTCGCCCGCGGTCACTAGTCAACTGGCTTGGCTCTCTGAACTATTGTCTGGACACTACAAGGCCGCAACCTCACTACCTCAGCCAGCTTGAGTCGCAGGAGTCGGCGTGTGTGCACAAACAACCTCAGCCGATTGTGATGGTTGTTGCAATTAATATATATTATATATATTTAGTACACACATTGATATACTTATCCTTAAATTTCAACAGCCTTGCAGACAGTGATCTGTGTTGTTATTAGATAGTAATATAAATAATGAAGGATTGTTTTAAGTAGAATATTTATTTTATGGGATACATCAAAAAAGAATCTAAATTTCATGAACAAATATCTTAAGTAAAAAAAATCCCATACTTATATTTACTTGTACGTTGAGAAAATATCCAAGTTCCAAAAACAAATTTCTAGCAAACAAAATTCCAAGTCAGGTTAAGTCTTAACATGAATCAAGAACGAAACACATAAGTTTGGTCTCCGCCAGACGTGTTCGTCGGACGGCAGCAGCAGCGGGTGTCTGGTTCCCGGACCAGACTTGCCTGGGGCCGCCCATCTGGAGCGTCTGGCACACCTTGCTGACTCCCTGCTTATAGCCTCCAGGTACGTAATAATTACCGTATTTTCATATAATACGATTAAATTAATTTTTGAAAAGCACAACAGATATAATCAGACGGCAGCATAAATAAGCGCTGATAATATGCAGCACCTTTCACTGGTGCTGTATAAATGTTTTGAACCACGACTGTATATATTTACGCTACTGTATTCTAGTAATCCAGATGTACCTGATTAACGTAGAGATATGAAATAAAAAAAAAGATGATTTGTTACTGTACTTGACTTAAGTTGCTAAAATAAAGGAATCAACAACACGAGGAATCTGTAAACATGAGCAATTAAAATTATTGAAGACAAAAAACGATTACTTGACAGATATTTAAACTACCCTGTATTATATTTGTTAGGGGCGTTGTTTCATGTCTAGTGGAATACTATATATATATACAGTATTACCCGCTTCTGCGGTTTTCCTTACGCCGTTTTATCATATCGCGTTTGCCTGAAAATAAAACTTTCATAGCGGAATTTTTTCATCATATCACCTGGAGAGCGGGCGAACTACGATGCGTTAAAGTGCATGTCATCAAAACATTACGAGTTCTTCACCGCCACCCACCACAGCGGCCCAAGTCAGTGATAGTGATAATTATAGTGAGGATATGGACTTATATGGCCTTTGAGGGTTTGACAAAGGCCCTGCAAGCCTCTGTGGTGGATAGTGATACAATTATTAAAGTGATACAGGTGAGGCCAATAATCTGCCCTCTGCCTCGGAACCACCCATCCCAGCCATCTTTTCTACTAATGCAAGTGTTAAAAAACCTAATATTATTGATATTTCTCTTATATTAATTGTTATGCATACCATCATAAAGTTAAGATAAAATTTTTACTACAACATAGTTGTGTGTCGTCAAAAAGTGGAGTTGGGGTCGGGCCAGTCTCTATTGGAATTAATCCCATATGTTCTGTTGTTCACTTAACGGTTTTCACTTAGCGTACCCTGTGGGTTCAATTGACCGCGTTAAGCGGGAATACTAATATATATATATATATATATATATATATATATATATATATATATATATATATATATATATATATATATATATATATATATATATATATATATATTTTTTTAGGGAATGGCTGTTTTGGTTATTTGTTTTAACACCAATGGCAATTATTTGAATGCTGTCCATGATTTGGATGTAGTGACACGGATTCTGATTCGATATCTTCCTAACAGGAATATCAGCCGGACCTCAGGGCTCATTCCCTACCATGGCTTTGAGAAAATTACCTCGGCCACCTCCCTGGGTGACCTCACATCAGGGACAACTTTTGGCCACATGCGGTCGTCACTGGCACTGTCCAGGGCAACTTCGTCGTCCGTGGGTAACCTGACCAACCTGTATCCAGATCGTAAAGACAAGGCGACCAGCCCAATCTCCAAGTTAAACTGCCGGGTTAGTGAGTTTAGTACCTTGGTATCGCCGGGGTCAAAGGTCAAATCCCGGATGAGTGAGGCCATTTTAGCTGCTCCGGTGAAGGAGAGGAGGTCATCTTTTCGACTCTATAACAGTGACAGCATCGAGGAAGCAGATGAAGAGGAGGTGACGACCGCCCGCTCTGGCAGTAGGATGAGCGCCTCGCAGGGCTCGTCCAGCACCTTGAAGGACTCATCCAGCCCCTCACAGGGATCGTCGAGAACCTCCCCAGCTTCCAGCACCAGGGTCACCCACCTCCTTACGGGAGTCTCCTGGCGTCTTATAGGGCTTGTCCATCATCTTTTAAAAATAAAACTCTTGGCAGGAGTAATCTAGAACCCGTCCAGCCTCCAATAGCTCGTAAGGGTTTCTTAGCATCTAACAGTGATCATTTGTCACCATGACGGTGTCAGCAACACCTTACAGGAGTCGTCACACACCAGAAGTGGTCGTGAATCACTCCCAGCCTCCAGACTGACCACAGCCTTGGTCATCAACACAACAGTACAACCAGTGGACTGTCTTTTCGGTGATCCAATACACTCTTCAGTTAAACGTTCATTGCAATAAAGACTTCTATTTCGAAACGTATTGCAGATGCTACAACAATGAGTTACGTTTCCCCGCCCGTCTTTGACAAAGTGGTTAAACCAATTTAGCTGAAACAGTTACTCAGTGAACAATATTAAATCCGTTGTAATTTGTTATATATATATATATATATATATATATATATATATATATATATATATATATATATATATATATATATATTTACGTACTTTAACAATTAAGGGCCTCAAGCCCATACTCTTAACAATTTATGGCTTGGCATTTACTTATTGGTACTGTACAGCAACATGTAATTTGGATCTTTTTTATATTCAATTTCATGAGATTCATAAAATGGTGCTTTAAATGATTCAATACTGTATAAAAGTTGAGTGCGAACTAACAGGAAACATAAGTTACATAACATACCTCTCATTTTTATTTTGGTTTATTGTAATTGGTTGCTATAATATGGCAACAGTTTCCTTTTCAATATAAAATTACTAAAAGATATTAATCAAATTCTTTTAGTTACAGGCTGGAATTTCCAATGATAGAATCACATAGTTGAGAATATTAGTTCTAATGAATTTCGCGTTGCAACATGAATGCATAAAGTGTGCTGTGGGACACATTGCATTTCAAACATTAATTTACTACTTTAGGGACCAATATTTGCCTGACAATTTAAGGGTAACTTACAAAATTAATGATGTTAGTAGTAGGCAACCATACACCCATCGTCCCATCCTTGAATACTATACGTATATCCCAAATTATGAAAACGGTCTTGGTCAGATCTTCAGAAAGTGGCTCTACTAGTTTTCATACAGTATCTTCTGGAATCTGTTATCGGGAATTAGGTCTTTTAAGGTTAACAATACATTAATTTGAGATAATTTTATTAATTTCAAATGAAGAATTACTTGTTATTTTCATTTATCAAGATACACTGAATCAATTGACAAGAACTGCACAATAAATTAATTTGGCATATAACGTAGATGCCTCCAGAAAAGAATATATTGGCCATTTTGAATTAAGAATTTTATAGTACCAAATGTTTTGATACGACAATTTCTCCAAACGTTTTAACCAGAAGCATTACAGCGTGAGTGTTTCAGCATCCGACCTGACCTTAACTAACTTATCTCCCAAACTAACATAACCAATACAATCCAGGCTGAAGCACCCAGAGCTGAAGTGTTGATGGCTAAGGCAGCTGGCTTGAAAACATCGCCAATTAAAACGTTGGGTCAAATAGGTAACCAACCCAATTAATCAGAAATTCTTAACCATCTATTCTGGATGCATTTACTACACTGAATTCTTTTCCTTCTACGCCGGATACTGTACGCACCATAAAAAAAAGATAATAGTTTCTTTGTCATTATTAAATAAGTTCCTTCATCGTACGACATGTTGAGATATTACCGTACGTCAATTCTTATCTCATACCTTAGACGTCCAACTACTCGTGTCTTAAAGATTGCCCTTACCCAATTCGTATCTCAAATTTCCCCATAATGTAAATCCCAGGATAAGGTTTTCTATTGTTATTTGGGAACCTTGAATTTTGACACTGCGAATAACAGATCCCAGTATAAGATATATATTTTTTCTATTTATTGAAGTATTTTTGCAGGGTTTGTGTGAGGGCTATTACTCTAAGCGGGGAAGTAAGATTAACCATAAATACTACTGTACACAAAAAAGTTATACCAAGTTTAAAATTACTGATGATGATGATGAATATATCTTGTGGTCCAGAATTGTCTTTGCATTTCTAGAATATTTTGTAATAGGCTACATATACTTAAAAATAAAAGGTGCCTTTCACTGTAGTTATGTAATTAATGTATAGTGTATAAAATCCATTGTACATTTATACAGAATAGGCTTTTGCTTGTGTATTACTGCACAATAAAATTATATTAGAAAGAAAATGTTTTATTTATATACGTTCCATAGCTATACAAATCCTAATATAGTACAGTACTGTGCAATGTTTTACAGGTCACAGAGTTCCAACAATAAAATACAAAGTGACGAACCCGTACTGGTTGTAAAAATACGCTTTCTATGGTCTTCTGTTCTGGAGAATGGTGTGGGCGAGAAACCCGCTACTTGGCGTTACCCTACTGAAATTTCAGGGGTAAAGCCATAGAAATAGCAAGTAGTGGGCGTAAGACATCCACGATCAGTTCAGTCACTGAACTTCAGTGTCCCTCATACAGTGGCCAATCAGCTTAGAATCAGGATGTCGCCAGCCAGTCCAGCGTCCAGTGTAGGGGGAATGTGGAGAGCTGGTGTGGTGTAACAGCATAATAATAATAATAATAATAATAATAATAATAATAATTAACGGTTTATTGAAAGAACTTGGCAGCCAGAAGGCTGAAAATATACAGTTACATATTTGGGGAATGGGTTTCGAATTACAAATAATATACAAGTAACATAAGTGATATAAATAAGATATATAATAACTAGATGGGGAAAAGCTCAAACTACAGTGCATTTCAACATAGTGACAGTGCAAGGAGTAGTGTTTACTGGGAGTGAATACACTGGTCTATTACAAGTTATTGATAATTTTTACAATGGTTGGGACTGGGCTGTTCTTATAGCGATCAGTTCGTGCACGTATGGGCTGGATGCGGTTGTGGTGTCGAACAGCAATTCTCGGGCTAGGGATCTCAGGTGGTAGTAGGAGCCGGTGTCGAGGATGGTGTAGAAGCTTCTTACCAAATTTGCAGATGAGGTTGTGGTGATGGTCAGTGAGAGTCGAAAGGGTCAGTGTGTTGAGCGCTTCTTGATATGTGGAGTAGGAAGGGGAGAGAATAATCTTGCATGCCCTCTTTTGCACTTTTTCTAGGTGTTTACGTTGTGTGGCATTTAGGGAGGAAGACCAGGTGGGGGGAGGCATAGGTGAGCTTGGGAAGTATGAATGTTGTGTAAACACTGAGGAGCTCGGTGCAGGAACTCCGAGGGACTTGAGTCGGCGGAGGAGGTGGAGACGGAAACTGGAGGATTTGACAACTTCACTGACGTGTGGTTTCCAATTTAGTTTGTTGTCTATGGTGACGCCGAGGAGCTTCGTGGAATCTACAACCTGGAGTGTGTTCGGACCTAGAGTAATGGAAGGAGGTGGGACAATGTCGGAGGAGAGGTTGATGTGCATAACCATGTCTTGGTATGGTTGATGGTGACATGGTTGTTGGTGGCCCAGTTTTGGAGACTGTTCAATAAATCCTGAAGAGTATGGTCGGGCAGAATTGTTGACGCTGATCCCAATGGTGGAGTCGTCGACATATTTCCAGCGAACAGGGGGTTTCTCTTAGGGCATCATTGATGAGCATAAGGAAGCAGAGTGGTCCCATCTTGGTGCCTTGGGGGACGCCACAGGTGAGTGACTGAAGGTGGAGACAGCCCCTCGGAAGCGTACAGCTTGGCGTCGGTCACTGAGGAAGTCTGTAAGCCATGGTATAAGACTTCTCCGAAGCCCGAGGTCAATAGCTTTGTTGATGATTATATTGTGGTCGACTAGGTCGAATGCCTTAGTGAAATCCATGAAGGCGACAGCTACAGACGTTTTTCGTTTCTCGAGATGGCGGTATATGTAATCGAGAAAGCTGACAAGACAGTGAGTGGTGGAGGAAGTTTTCATGTTGCCAAATTGCTGAGGGTCTACGACTCCTGCAATATCAGCATAAGCCCAGTGTTGTGGAGCATGCTTGTGGCTACTTCAGTAGTGTTGACATGGACAAGATTGAGGTTATTTTCAGCAAGTTTTGGGCTATAGGTGACTTCAACCAGCAAAATGCCTACCTTATGTCTAAGCATGCGAGTTCAAGTGATGTGAAACAGGCAGCTGCACCATGGATAGGAGGCGGAGTAGTAGGACACCAAACAGACGAGCATCAACATTCATTGTAAGTGTTAGTAGAAGTAGTTTTCTAACAATAATAGTAACATTCATGTGATAACACACGGTTTATTTCACATTGTAGCTACTTTTGGGGAGATAGTGGATAATTATACGGGTACGACAGACATATTGACGAAATGTGTTGTTAATGGTTAGGTTAGAGGGTAGGCAAACTGGGTTAAGTTTGGTGTGGTTAGGTTAAGTCAGTTTAGGTTAAGTTAAGTCAGTCAGAAAGAAGGCCCTCTTAATTAGTAAATATCATTGTATAGTCTGCCCACCACTCACGCGCATTAGGCAGCTGTAGCCCACAAAATTGGAAAAAAATAAATAAATAAATAAATAAATAAATAAAAATTAATCCAACAATATTTGGTAATAAATGTTTATTCAAGTTGAAAAACTGACGCTTGCTTTCTCACAAAAAAGATGGGTTTCATATTCTTTTAATGGCTACGGCAAGATTTTCTTATTTGGTTATTCTAAGATTATTAAAAAAATACGAATATATTTCTTTCCTTGGGTTAGGTTAGGTTAGGTTTCAACAGTGATTTGAAAGTTGAAATTGTAATGAGAATAATAGCCACAGCCATTAAAATATTTACCCAAATTACGATACATATACTGTATAAGGTTGTGAACCCCAGGGCCGACCTGATCATCATCAAGCTACTGGGGCCTCAACTGACGCCACCGCGGTTGCTGGAGGATCGGCTTTTTTCACACTTCATTTTTCCAACATTCGCGGACTGAGATCCAATTTTTCTTCTGTGGAGCACCATCTATCAACCTCTTCCCCCGACCTGCGACTACTCTCCGAACTTCAACTGATCAAAGCAGCTTCACCCAAACCTTTCCAAGTCTCAAACTACAACCTTTATACCTACTTCCGTTCTAAGGGAGGTGTATGCGCCTACTGCAACACACGTACACCCATAGCCCGACTCACGGATCTTGAATCTCCCCTTTATGATGTCATCTGGCTCAAAATATCTCTACCTACTGTGACTATTTTTCTTTGTTTCCTATACTGTTCTCCCAACTCTACCAACTATTTCGAACTCTTTGAGTATCTCACTTCTTGCCATGAGTCGTTGCTATCCACACACCCCAACACCGAGATCATCTATCTCGGGGATTTCAATGTACATCACAGAGAGTGGCTTGGCTCTGCAAGGGATGACCCAGGTGGAGCTGAGGCACTCTCTTTTTCCTTACTTAATGATTTGGAACAGATAATCAAACACCCTACACGCGTTCCTGATCTACACGATCAACTTGCTAACATTCTTGATCTTTGTTTTACCTCTAACCCCTCACACTATTCATACTCAATTTTTGCCCCCTTTGGGTCTTCTGATCACAATCTTATTTCTATTAAATCAAACTGGGCACGACCACCTCCCCCACCCCCCTCTAAACGTCAACTATGGCACTATCGGAGGGCAAGCTGGCAATCTTTGCGAGAATTCTTCACCGACTTTCCTCGGGATGAATGTTGCTTTTCCACTCGGGATGCCTCGGTATGTGCTGACAGCATTGCTGGGGTTATACAGGGCGGTATGAGTGCATTTATCCCATCTTCTACCAAAACTTTCACATTACAATCATGGTTTGATCGCTCCTGCTCTCTTGCTTGCATATCGAGCTATGAAACTATCTCCTCCTATTACCCACACCTCTTTCATTACTTCTAGGAATCGTTGTAAGGCTATTCTTCGTAGGGCCAAGCGGAATTTTATTAAAAGAGAGACCGCTGTCCTGACTAATTATTCCTCTAGTAAATCCTTCTGGTCCTTAACTAAATATAATCTGTAACAACTTCTGCACGCCTTCTTTTCCTCCCCTCTTCCGTCCCAATAACTCTATAGCCTACTCTCCCCCTGACAAAGCCAACCTGTTTGGCACCTTATTCTCCTCTAATTCCACCTTAGACGATTCCCACTCTATCCCTCCTACCCCTGCACCTCCTACTGAACCTATGAACCTATAATCTCCACTCGCAGGGTTGCAGGTGTGTTATCCAGGTTGGATGTGAGTAAGGCGCATGGACCGGACGGAATACCCCCCCGTGTTCTGAGGGAGTGTGCTGAAGCCCTGGCCCCTGTACATGCTCGCCTCTTTCGCCTTTGCCTCAAAACCCAAGCTTTTCCTTCTTCTTGGAAGCATGCCTTGGTTCAGCCCATCCCGAAGAAGGGTGACCATTCTAATCCCTCTAACTATCGCCCCATTGCCCTAACCTCATCCCTCTCTAAGATTTTCGAAACTATCTTGAACTCCCATTTTCTCCGTCACCTTGAACACCTTTCTCTTTTGTCGGATCACCAGTATGGCTTTCGCCAGGCGAGATCTACTAGTGGTCTGTTCTCCTATTGCACCCATCTTTGGTCATCCTCTCTTAGGGATTCTGGGGAACTTTTGTCGTGGCTCTCGATATCTCCAAAGCATTTGCCAGGGTATGGCACAAGTCTTTGCTATCTAAATTTCCCTCTTTTGGTTTCTCTCCCTCACTTTGTTTTCTCATCTCTAGCTTCCTTGAGAACCGATCCATGGCAGTTGTTGTCGAGGGACCCATTTCTCGCTCTTTTTCTACGAGTAGTGGCGTCCCACAGGGTTCTGTTCTTTCACCAACTCTCTTCCTTCTTTTTATCAATGATTTACTTCACACTACAACTAATTCTATCCATTCTTACGCTGATGATTCTACTCTTCACTCTTCCTCACATTTCCCCTTCCTCCTAACTCTCAAACTAGATCTGTTTCTAGAACTGATATCATTACTTCTATCAACACGGATCTGTGCAGCATCTCTGAATGGGGAGGTACAAACTTGGTTAAGTTCAATAGTAATAAAACTCAATATTTACCAATTACACTCTGTAAATTAGACGATCTCCCACCAATTACATTTCAGGATGCTATCGTCCTCCCAAATTCTGAAATAAATATGTTAGGCCTCACCATTTCCTCCAATATGTCCTGGAAATCACACATCCTTAGTATAACTAAAGCTGCCTCCCGAAAGTTGGGAATGCTGTACAGATGCAGCAGCTACTTCACTCCTGAGCAGTTGCTCCAAGTATATAAGGGATTCATTCGTCCTAACTTGGAGTACTGCTCTCATATCTGGGGTGGCTCTTCTTCTGTCCAACTATTAGATATAGGGTGGAATCAAAGGCATTTTGTCTTATTAACTCTCCTCCTTTAGTCGACAATCTCTCTTCCCTTTCTCTTCGCCGCAATGTTGCTTCACTCTCTCTCTCTTTTACAGGTACTTTAACGGGCAATGTTCGGTGGATTTGGCATCCTGTGTACCGCCGGCAAGGCCGTGGGTTCGTAACACGCGTCTTGCCCGCGGTGCCCACCGTTTCTCTGTGGATGTTGGTCACACGAGAATAACCCGTTATAGTACCTCCTTCTTTCCTCACACAGCCAAACTGTGGAATGCTCTGCCTTCTTCTGTGTTTCCATGCTCTTACAATCTGTCTCACTTTAAAAAGCTGGTTTTCCGGCATCTTCGTGGTGTAGATTAATACAGTATAACCTTTTATTTTTTCTATATTTACAATTTCTTTCCGTTCTTTTTTTTTCGCCCCCCAGGCGCCGTTGTGGGTCGTTTGACCTGTGCCCGGGTGGGTTAATTCCCGTAAAAAAAAAATAAAAAAAAATAACTAAAGATTTATAAATACTAGTATAGATTATTTGCACAGACATTCAGAGGATATGAATTATACAGCATTAAATATTCACCAAGTTTATTCATGACTACACACAAAATTATAATAGTAATAATAATGATTAATAATAATAATAATAATAATAATAATAATAATAATAATAATAATAATAATAATAAAAGAGAATCAAAACGAGATAACAAGTTCCCGCCTGGGGTGTGTGTGTGTGATGTTCAAGCAAATTGGATCCAAATAACAAGAGATCCGTGGCGGTGACTGTATAAATACGGTCAGTAAAGCGTTATTCTTGTGACAGTCGACGATCTAAAGTCAATATCATTTGAATTATTAGATTTATTCTTAACATGCAGTACGAATTACCGAAATATTTGAAAGGTTATGCTGTCAAACGTCTCTGTATTTCCGACTTATGGGCCTAAACATTCAACAAGTCCTCACGTCACAGGAAAGCACAAGCAAGCCACAGTTAAAATGCTCTTGTGTACATATGAGGAATTTTGATGGCTTGATTATTATATAGACAATGAAATAGAAAATGACGCCCATGCTGGCACAATCGCTTAATTAAAGTAGATAAACATTTATAATTCTAGTGTCGTTTGGCGAGGCGTCTAGTGACCACCCTTAATGGCAACACTGAATCAAAAGCTTACTCTTTGGTCCCTTGAGTTTAATATTCTACCTCCCACTCCTTCCTTACTTTGCTGTCTGACGCTGTAGAAAAGCAAAGTTAAAACAGATTTTAATGTGTTAAACGTTTTTATAGGATAATGCTGTCTTCAGTAATGTTACCTTGTATAGTGGCAACGATATACTTTTGCATCAAACTGGTACAGTATTTCTTATATTTTTAATGATTCCGCGAGTTTATTATCACGTTTTTGTATAAATTTTAATTGCAAGATTTACACATAATCATCTGACATTACAACAGCTCGCTTAAATTCCAAGGCCAATGAAACGGTTTGAGTAAATTTGTACACTGACAGCTCGGTTTTATTAGGATTTAGTTTGGTACAAACAGAGTATTTAAAAAAAAAAATTATGATCACTGTTAAAAAATGTGGACGTATTCACGAGTGGGTGGAAAGTGGAGCAATGAAGTGAATGTTGAACACAAGTTACTGTGTATTTGTAGATCGTAACCCATTTCTCTAAATTTGGCTTGAGAACAACATTCCTAAAACCAGTGAAAATTACACCATTTATGTTGAATCTCGAGTGTACTTTACAAACTCCATAACATCATAACACCAGTGTAGAATTCTAACCATATCTAGCAATTTTAAACTTTACAATATACGCAGTTTCGGCCTACGACTTATGTGTTATGTCTATTTTAGGGTAAATATTCTCACAAATGCCATACTATCCGAATCATTTACCTATTGTATTTTGCTGCTTTATCATCCCAATACCCGACTTTCCTGACACTAAATGACCGATGTTTTCTATGAGGGAATTTTTTAATGGGTTTCGTTATTTACCAGTACGTCCTTCGTAACACAGTTATGACCGATTATTGATTTCTCGCTTTTTTTCCTCCGAATAAAATATTGAGATACAAGGAAGACCAGTTTCGAGGTTTTTCCCTACTGTTTAAATACCAGCTTAAAATTGCAGTTTGCACACATATATAATGTATAATTAATTCGCATTAGACCTCCCCACGTAAAACAATATCTTGTTGATATTACACCTCAGGTACATATTGAACTCACCATCATCCACCAACAAATATTAGCAACGAGATATTTTACTGAAGACATGAAGGTTAAAAACGGTTCGTTGTTATAGTCTGGAAAAAATCCTGAAGATGCTAGGCAAAGCGGCAGCTGTGCTAAAACACATGAAATATCAGTAAATGCTGAGTCCTGATTCACAAAGGTTCTTACTATGTTCATTCTTGACAATTAAAAATGTAAGAATGCACTTAATTACGTGGATTAAGCTAAGTACAAATAATGTAACAAAAAAAAAATACCGAGACTCTTAACAAAAGGCGTTCACTTAGCAACAGTTTCTAGTTAAAGTCTTAATAGATTTTTTTAACTGTTTTATGTTATTGTCTTGTATACTAAGTGAACCAGTTTTGTGCATTCTTACATCTTCAGTGACGATGAATAACATCGTATGGATGTGTGTGAATTCATATCTAGACCTACATTTTGTGATAGATAAAATACGACTTGAAAATATGACGTATTATATGTATATGTAGTTACGTTTAACGTTAAAAGCTGAACACTGACGAATCATCATAGAACACATGGACATTAGCGGCCACGGCAGTATTACCAGAGCACGAGCCTACCCTGGGCTGCCAGCCTAGTGTGAGTTACAACTATTTAAATCAATACTCGTAAGCCTTCACAGATTTACCTTCAAACAAATACTGTATAAATATTTACAACAGTGTTCAAGAACAGACGCGACTTCTTGACCGCATCTTTACATCATAAGTTTTGTAAAAAAAAAAAAAATATATAGAATTAGTATGAAAATTAACAATGAAATAAAAATCCAATACAATTCCTATCGCTGATCCGTACCAGCGTTCCTATGTTCATCACAGAACAAACCAAGACACGCCTGTTTATGTTCATAATGGGTTCAAAGGCTGCCTTATTTTATCTGCCTTAACCCTCGTTGAGTTTGGTCTTTTTCCAACAAAAGTTTACTTTGGTCACTTCCTCAAGCCTGTTCTGGACGAAGGCTTCATTCCTACACGTTCGGAGCTGCTTCTATAATACTGTGGAACAGTGAAAAGTGAAATTTGGGCCTCGTTGACCTAACAACCAGCACGGAGCAGTGCGGATACAGTACAGTACTCTGTATCCACTCTGCCGTTACAGCATCCCTTGTGGGACAGTATACAGCTCTACATAGGGCGGGCTGATAACGCTGCCATATACCGCGGGCTTTGTAATTGTACATTTTATGATTTACTCAATGTTTGCACAGTAGTCTTGAGTGTAACCTTCTTGGATTTCACAACAGTTAACTCCATCACAACAAACATCAATTAGGTCGACTAAGCTTACTCAGGTTAGGTGAGTAAGGCAGCATTTATTCGCCAGTTCAGGGATTCAAAGTTGGCACGGCACTGATTTTTGGGTTCATAGACACTGTCATCGTCTACACACACACACACGCTAACTATGAGGCCCTAAAACATAACCCCTTAAAACAGCCATAGAATTTTTTGTAGTTCCTCCCGTGTTGTTACTCTTACGCAACACTTGCCCTTATCACCAGCAGACCTCAGCTGTTTTCATATTTAGTAGAGAAAAAAATTATGATACAGATTTAAGAGAAGGAAGGACGCCTCTGTTGCTCGGAAATTGTTACAGAATTTTCCTGCACGTTCGCTTTGATGCAGAGAATATCAATCCCGGTACTACAGAAAGGAGTGAATTTAAGAGAATAGTGTTAAATGCTCATGTGTGGCAAGAAGCTTTTTTTTTCTTTTTTTTTTAGGTTAGATTCAGTGTTGCCAAAAGACCAATACCTTTACGACGACGCAGTAAAGAGCCCACATTTTAGAAATACCGTACCAGTCATCCCCTACAAAAACACAGATGAACGGTTGCTTTACACAAACAATACCGGGTAGACTCTGTATTAACAGACTCATATGTTATGGAAGATTACGTTCACTCTAGCTGCAATCATTGGTTTATAATCACAATAATATATTTTGTGGTTGGGGAATCAACAAACTGGTAATAAACAGGTTAGACAGATACATTGTAAATTGGGAATCACATATTATAATTCTGAGATACACATCAGAATATTAGATGTGTTCTGGAAGCCTACTAAATTTGGTCATTCGGTGCCCTCGAGGGAGTCATGTGTTCTAGTAAATCAGTCGAAAAAAAAGACTATAAAGTATACCGTCGGAACATGTGAACTGAACAAGGGTACTGATCCACTAAAACCCAGCCAAGCGGGGATGCCACGACTGTACCCATCGTTACATGTTTTTCCTACACAAGGAGGCCTTCACTCCCCAAACCGTAAATATAAGCACCTATTTACGGATGGGTGAACTATGGAGTTTCCCGGGCGCGAATCGTAGACCCACCGCACCCGGCACTGATTTTTCTAGCAGAATTTAAACACAAGGATAAGTTAATGTTACAATGTAAATCACGGTCATTTTATTGTTATAAGACTGTTGAAGTGTTGTATTATAGACTCCAATGTCGCTGCTTTTCTTATGTGTCTTACTCCAGTGGTAGACGATGCGAGGTTCGATTTTTTGGAAACGGCGAGTAAATTTTAAATAGCCTAATTGGGCGCCTTAAGCTCCGGTTTGACAACACTGTAAGCGACTGCCAACACACCTCACTCAGACTTTACGGGACTAGATAATGGCTGGCAATAAACGAAACCAGCCTAACCTAACCACACCTAATTACTCTAACGATGTAAAATTACTCTGGTTGGTTTGGTTGGATTCTATCGTGTAACCGCCATACCTAATCCTGTAATCCTTCGTCCGATCACACGCAAACATACTTGTCGTTTCTCTGACGATTTTAATGCTATTTTCTTAAGTTCACATCTGTTATTTTTCCTTACTCCAATACCTGATTTACCTTCAGTGCGTTAAAACGAATAACTGTGATCAACTACCGTTAAGTATTTCTCATTAAGAAGGTGGCGCGCGCCCTCCTCCTCACCTTCATCAAAATACACAGTGTGCCATTCATGTTTATATTTTTTCTGGCTATCGAATCATCTGTTCGTTTTTACATTTTTCAATTTCTTCATTTATTCGTTTTTTTCTTCATTATAAATGGATATATAATTTCAATAACAGGAAAACGGGGAAAGAAAACAAACTTATTTTATCTTATATTAACCTGAACTGTATTCATAGAGACAGCTTCAGGCTTGTTTGTGATCGAAGAAATACCTGTCTTGTTCATATATTGCATTAAAATTTATGCCAAAAGGTACTGGTCTGTTTGTTTAAAATGCACATTCTTAGAGTCATCTGTTGCCATGAAGACCATTCGTTAAAAAAAAAAACATCATTATTTATTTAGTATTTACCGTATAATGTAGCCATTTAGAGTTTCAGCTGTGTTTCTTGGTAGATACACCTATTTCTGAGCACACAATGCCCTGAAATACATTTTTAAGAGTCAGATTTGAGTATATCAGGTTGAAAAATATTTTCAATTATATATTATCTTCATATGTGTCCACAAATACAGTTTCAGCTCAGTCCAGCAGCAGGGGGACATTGTGAGTGTGTGTGTGTGACTGGTGAGGTTAGCGTACAACACGATAACACACTCAAGACGGTCTATTTTAGCTCACACCATTGCGAGGAACAAGAAGCGACACTACCGCCACTAATGACATGTTTATGTTCCTCGACATAAACACTCCGTCGCCGCACTCACAGACTACTGCTGTGTATTAGAGATTATCGATATCTTTGTCCTCTTTCTCAACACCAACAGACTTACGGCATACACTAGAGAAGATCTGTGAGGTGTAGACATAAAGAGTATAGGAGAGAACTTAAATAATGAGTCCAATTTATGAAACATGATAATTACACTGACACGCGGGTAGTGACGGGCCCACTACGGCACTGACGGATGCAGGAACGGAGCCACTCTGCCTAGGCCAAACGGGGAGGTGGGTAAGGTGCTGTTGTAGCTCCGCGTCTGCAGCAGGCTGTAGCAGGCTAGGTACGAGTATGGCAGTGGTAGGCTGACGTGTTCCCACTCCATGCTGTGAGGGAAGTTCGAGGGAGGTCTGAAGGGAGTGAGTGGCTGGGGTCTCACAGGTTGATTCTGAGGAAGGGGTATCAACGCAGGTGGTGACCTCATCCTTATCTCCGGGGAGTTGTTGATGGTCATCCTGCGGAACCCTACCTGTTGGAGGTCATCGGTGACCCGGTTTAAGCTCGTCTCCATCGGATTGCCGCCCCAGAGCTCCCGGCTGTAGCGCAGATGGAGGTCGTCGTTAGGGATGCTGAAGCGGGTCTTTTTTGATGGCGCCGTTAGTGCCAGTGTCGAATCGATTCCTGGTGCGTGTGTCCTGAAGGGTGGCGAGTCCTGACACGTGACCAGCTCCATCCTGCTCACAGTATCGTAAGAACACATGTTGTCGACGCCTCTGAGCGTTTCTTCTCTCCCGAAAGAGTTATTGTTTCGCATTAAGTCAATGTCCCTGAAGAGGTCCGTCTCTCTGAACAGTCTCGGGTTTCTGCTTTCCATCTCCTCTCTCTCTCTTTCTCTCTTGAGGTTCCTCCAGACGACGCTGTTACTCATGGATTGGAAGTTACCCATCTCGAGGCTGCCAGAGGCGGTGTCGCAGTGTAGGACGGAGCCCAGGGGCCCTGGGATCCTGGGTTCTGGGACCATCATGTGTCTGGGAACACACTGCCGCTGCGGACTGTTCTCCATCAGCTCCTGTAGGGGTAAAACAAGAGGAGAAATACGTCATCTATTAATAACATGTGTCTGCGTCATGGTAATGCATCGAGTAAAGCGGGACACAGTCTGACCAAAAGAGTGAAAACATGAGAATAATGTCAACAAGTCAATCAGTCATTCAGGAGAGACAGCATTGAGCTGACTAGTGTAGCTGATAACTGTCAAAGGAGAAAAAGAAAAATTAAATAAAGTACAAAATGACTATACAGATTTAAAAACGTGCAGTATAAGAATGAAACTGAACATTAATGTTACAGCTGTGCTGGCTGTGTTACCATAACGGTGTTCAACCTTAGTAGCATCAGTTGTGTTGCACAGTTACCAGAATAGAGATGAGAGTTTAGTTGCCTCAGCTGTGTTACCAGAGCAGAAGTTAGATCTTAGTAGCCTCAGGTGTGTTATCAGAGCAGAGATAAGACTTTCACAACTGTTATCATAAATGTAGGTACAGTACTATAGTTCCCACACCTTCCAGAATGCGGGGAAGACCAAGTTGACAACACTATACACTGGCTCGTATATGTAGATCCTCAGGTGGCAACACTGCGCACGCACTAACATATTTTCTATAATTTTTGTCGGCTTTTCTGTTTCCTCGTTTATAGCATTCTAGCGTTTATTTGCATTATTGTTCTTCCTTTTACTATTCTCTAAGTATTATTCTCGTCTTGTTTTGCTTTGTGTTTGTTTATCATTTGATCTCTCTCGTGTCTTTGTGGACGTAAACACTGTTGTACTGTATATTAAAACACGATTATGAAGAGACAAAATACAAGATAAAACAAGATGAGACGTAACAGAAAATACCGTATATACTGACTGACCTTGGTGTGTGTGTGTGTGTGTGTGTGTGTGTGTGTGTGTGTGTGTGTGTGTGTGTGTGTGTGTGTGTGTGTGTGTGTGTGTGTGTGTGTGCTTGCAAGTTTTGTGCCCGTTTATACGAACTTACAATCCCTATGACTCACCCACATAAAATACAAATTAACACACACACACACACACATAAAAACTCAATATTTTTAGGGAGAATTGCAAAATAGCGAAAACATATCTGTATATTTATGCCTAACTGGTCTGTACATATAGAAAACTACAATTTAAACTACAAATGAATATCATCATTGCTATCTTAAGAATAGTTTGGATAAGATAGTAAACGGCGTCGGAAAGGAAACTGTAATTTTTACCTTTTATGAACTTACTTCTATTGTTATAGCACTGTAAAAATTTTTTTTATTCCCATTTGGTAAAAACATCCGTTGCGTTATAAGCTAAATCGGGTGGTCATCCATATTATAGTAACAATATACTGTGCATATATTGTGTGAAGATAAACACACACACACACACACACATACATACATACACACACACACACACACACACACACACACACACACACACACACACACACACACACACACACACACACACACACACACACACACACACACACACACACACACACACACACACACACACACCAGCTAACAAAGCGTTACTCAACACAGGCACGTGAAGATTAATTTATTGGACGTTTATACGGAATTTTAGGGGGAGCAGTGAGTGACCTAGATAGAGGTCCCTCGCCCCGGTCCACCAAGTGACGAATGGGAACCTAATGTTGACAGTTAGGGAAATGAATGCGGTCTAGTGCGGTATCGAAGGCTTAGTTTATATTAGGTCAGGTTAGGTTAGGTTATGTTGGCTTAAATTAATGAAAGAACATAAGAAAATAAGGAGTCTGCAATAGGCCGGTTGGCCTGTGCATGGCAGCTCCTGTCGAGAGTTACTACCACTCTCTATCATCCATGAATTTATCGAGCCTCCCTTTGAAACTTTCCAGCGTTCCAGCACTTACTACAAGGTTGCTAAGCTTGTTCCACTCGTCCGCCACCCTATTTGTAAACCAGTTCCTTCCTATCTCCCTCCTAAATCTAAACTTTTCCAACTTGAATCCGTTGTTCCGAGTCCTATCCTGCTCGGATATTATAAGAACTTTATCTATATCACCTTTATTGATTCCTTTCACCCACTTGAATACTTCTATCATATCTCCCCGCACTCTTCGTCTTTCTAGGGAATGCAAGTTTAGTTTCTTTAACCTATCCTGATATGGAAAGTTTCTAAGTCCCGGAATCATTTTCGTCATTCTTCACTGCACCGACTCTAGTGAATTGATATCCATTCTATAATAAGGGCACCAGAACTGAACCGCATAATCGAGGTGCGGCCTGACTAGCACAAGATATAGTTGCAATAAGACCTCTGCACTCTTATTTCACTCTAGGATATAAACCCAATAATTTGCTTGTTTTTATTTCGAACATTAACCTAATTGTTTTCAGGCCGTAGGTCCGGCTTATAGCACCTTTGGTGTCTCTTTCACAAGTCGACTTTTCAGGTTGATGTTGCGGCGCCGGGTATACATTGACAGTTTGTTCAATATTGGGTTATTTCGCCAAATTTGCTGCTGGTGTTAATTTCATTTGCGCTTTTTTCAGACCACACCCCTGCAGTTTATTTAGATCCTCCCGGGCCATTTGCATCCTGCCCCAGAACTTTAGACCTAAGCGCCCTATTTGGTGTCATCCGCAACTTGAATATGTCACTGTTGGATCCCAGTATCTAGATCGTTTATGTAGATTATGAACAAGAGTGGGCCTAGTACTGACCCCTGGGGAACCCCACTGGTTACACGACCCCACTCAGATTTAACACCATCTACGCTGACCCTCTGCGTTCTATCGGTGAGCCATGATTTTATCCAATTTAAAACTTTCCCCTCGATACCATGAGCCTTAATTTTTCTCAGAAGCCTCTGATGTGGTACTCTGTCAAATGCTTTGCTAAAGTCTAAGTATATAACATCGTAATTTTCGTCATTATCTACTACCTTGAAGACTTTCCTAAAAAATGTCAGCAGATTTGTTAGACAAGATTTTCCCTTTGTAAACCCATGTTGAGAGTCGTAGATTAATTTGCTTTTCTCTAAATGCGATCGGATGTTATCTGCTATAATTGATTCAAGAAATTTTCCCACTACTGACGTCAAACTGATCGGCCGGTAATTTGACGCTGATGCTCTGTCTCCCTTTTTGAATATGGGTACTACATTTGCCTGTTTCCACAAGTTTGGCACAACTCCGGTGTCTAATGATTTTGTAAATAAGTTTACGAGGGGTCCGCTAATCTGTTCCCTACACTCTTTCAAGACTCGAGGGAAAATTTCATCCGGCCCTGGGATTTTGTCTTTTAGTTTATTTATCTTTCTAAGAACATCCCTGATGGTAGTAATTTCAGGAAAGTTATCATTGTATAAAAATTGAGGCTATGAAAATTAAATTTAATCTAATTTAATCTAACCCTAACTTAACTTATCCAATTTAATGCTTACTGACTCCCAACCAAATAACTCAACCCAACTCCCCCAGTTAATCGCTCTTCGTGGTTAATTTTATTCTAGTGAAATAAGCTAGGGTGTCTAATCTACAGGTGATCCATTATGTTGGTAAGAGGTTCACCCCCACCACACACACACACACACACACACACACACCGTTATGATAAATTTTCCTTCATCAATAAATAAGTGACTGAGGGATAACTGTTCTTTGACAGTGAGTAAGTGAACAAGTTTTTTCTGTCTGTGGGCGAGTCAGTAAGTCAATAATTGATCGAGTTAAAACAAAACACATTGCTGGTGTGATAAATTAAAAAAAATACCTTCGCCTTCTGATATTGACGTCAAATACTAGAGCCCTATGGTAAAGACTCGTACAATAGAACGAGGTTAGGGTAGGTTAGGTTATATTAGGTTAGGTCAGGTTAGGTTAGGTATGGTTACGTTAGCTCAGGTTAAGTTAGGTCAGGTCAGGTTCGGTTACTTTATGTTAAGTTAGGTTACTGTTAAATTAGTGTTAGGAGAGTTAACCTATGTGGTGAAATAATCTGGGGTGTCTAATCTTCATGTGATCCGACTATAAATCCTATAGATAGAATGTAAACAAACACGGTGTACTAACCAGCGGTGGAGGATCCTTCGAGGGCGTCAGAGCATTCCTGGGGACGGCCATGTTGGAGATCATTGGGGAAGTGAAGTCGGGAGGTGTGGGCATGATGTTTCTGGTGGAGGAGGAAGAGGAAGACGAGGAGGAGGAGGAAGAAGAAGAGGAAGAAGTAGAGATGATGTTACTCGTGCAGGTGTAAGGGGCGGTGATAGTGGCGGTGGTGGCGGGCGGGAGGTTGACCACGGGCGTGGCGGCGGCGGCAGGGGGGGTGGTGGTGGTGGTGGTGGCGGTCGTGATAGTGGTGACTGTGGGAGGGGTGACGCGGCTGGTCTGGTTGCTGTCCACAGACAGCTGAGCTAACTCCAACTCCGCTGTGGTCCTCCTCACGTAGTCATAGGCTTCGTTACGCTGTTGGCTCGTCACCTGCGACCTGAGGGCAATATACCGTGGTTAGTGACGTCATAGGGGCGAAGTGTGACGTGTTGTGGTACAGCAGGACAAGGTGTTAGGTGTGTCAAAGTTCATTAGCAGTTGACATTTGCTTGCTACTCCGTGAAGCGATACACTCTGCCTTTCACGAGTCATACACAGTGCCGGATTTAGACCTGTGGAGGCCCATGGGCAGCCTCTTTGTGGAGGCCCCCTCATTATAACTACCCAAGAGGGTGGGGTGGCAAGTGAAGCGAGCCGAAACATCTGGGAGTTCCGGGGGGCGCTGTAAGCCCCCCGGGAAAAATTTGAAATTTGAACACTTTTTTGGAGAATTTTGAAGCCATATGCAGTTATATTGAGAAAATTAGAACATTGATAAATTTTTAATTAACTGTATATTTATTGATAGTGTACAAATTCCCAACACACACACACAAAAGTGAGACATGACTGGAGTCATTCATGTGGTTTCAAGTCGACCAGCCCTGATATAGCTACTACCACACATGTCAAAAATTTTCAAGAGGCTTCACAGAAAAGAATATATTATTAGTTATTACAGAGAGATGATTCTTTGCATTATTAATCAGATAAACCTCTACTCATATAATGGTTCTGTCCAAGAATGCATGTATAGGCTTCTTTAAGTCTAAGGTCAGATGTAATATGTGGAGGCCCCCAGATTGTGGAGGCCCCTGGGCAGCTGCCCACTTTGCCCACTCCTGAAATCCGGCCCAGGTTATACACACACACACACCATCATCAAATACACATGAATAACACCAAGTGTCAATTAATCGACTGGTAATAGACTGTGTACTTGTTCTCTCACTCACTCACTCAACACCTCCTAGTTACACAGTAATGAAGATGTTGTACAGTAAGTTGGTCGGAGATAATAATAATAATAATAACAATAATAATAATAATAATAATAATAATAATAATAATAATAATAATAATGATGAGGATGTCCAAAATAATAATAATAATAATAATAATAATAATAATAATAATAACAATAAGACACTAATAATAATAAAGGCAGTAAACATCGGGATATACATATAACATAGATGCCAATAAAACAGCGAAGAAAATAATCACAGTTATAATGGTGTCCAAGACATGTCCCCACACAAAACAAAACAACATTTTACTGCGCAGTGTTGACGTGGAATATCTTACTTGATCAGCTGTCCACGTCTCCCTATACGCGTTGTGCTTCGAAAAACGACTAGACTGAACACCGGGCAGATCAAGATGTGTACGGCATACAGAGTTGTGTGTATGTGTTGTGGAGTCACTAATTTATTCGCTAACATCAAAGATACAAAAAATATCACCCCCCAATTATAGACTTTGAATTTTACTAGTGTCTCTCTGTTCTCTAAATATGTTTCATATGTTTTAATGCGTGTTTGTGTGAGCCTGAGTTAAGTAATAATCATGAGTGTTTTAAGTAGCTCGTTATTGCTAGAGTGTTAGGTGCCGGGGCTAGTGGCTGAGTTTTTATTAGAATTAAAGTAAGTGACCACGTCAAGGATTTAGGTGTATCACTGTTGTCCACTGGGGTAGAGAGGGCTTTAACAATGTACTTGTAGTGGATCGCTCCCCTACAAACTACATCCGCATTCCAATGCGACAGTATCCTAGCAACCAAACGAGCGGCCCAGGGGAGGCATCAGCTGCTACCGTATCCCAGCAACACGGCAAATAGGGGATCGCCACCTGCTACGTCTTCCCTAGCAACGGAGCCAAGAAACCGGCGAGTTCCCACGGGTTTACTTCCGGCTGCTGTGTATATAAGCTCGCAGTCTCTCCATTGAGATTCATTCTGGCCTACGTTCCTGACACGCAACACCTCCTCCAAACAAGCTCCTCGCTGTCCAGCACTCATTCAACCTGGAGGACAGCAACACGCAACATCTCTAACGAAGCTCCTGCACAGATACCTCTTCAAGCACGCTACTCACTGAACGTGTCTCTTGAGCAAGCTCCTCACCACACGGCATCTCCAGCACCAGACTGTCTTGTATACAATATATTCTATATAAGAAAACCTCCATCTAGAGTTTCTATCCATCCATCCTGAGTGCTAGACAACATAATATCCCGAACCCTACAAATGGTGACCCCCGGAAAAACGCACTGACACAGGATGGAGGACGGACGGATCTCTCTACCGACTTTCAACCATAACGAATACACTGCCGCAAACCACTCAGTGGTTACACCTCCACTTAGCCCCGGTTTCGTCAACCTGATCAACGCTCCTCAGAGAAGTAGCATTCCACCAGACAAGCAAGACATCAGGGGCCTGTTGCAAACTTTGAACCGCAGGATGGATACCATTGAACTGCTCTGCTCCTCCATGCCTGCTTCTTCTCCTGTTCCTGCCCCACACACTGTGTCCTACCAACCCCAACACCCCCGTCCTGCCCCAGACCCCGCCGCCAGCCCCCAGCACAATGTACCTACCTTCTGTTGGTACCATCAACGTTTTGGCGCTAAAGCTAGACGCTGTGAGGCTCCCTGCAACTACACAGCGAAGCAACATCGACGGAGATTGGTAGGCGCCATAACCTCCGCCACTATCAAGCAGCACATCACACGCCTTACTTCTGACCTTGACCACTTCACTCCTGCTGCCCGTCACGACCTACTACAAACACGACGTCAGGCGGTTTCTGCATTCAAGGCTACTGCCCCACGCCAGCGTTCCCACCGCCCTGAACACATTCATCCCGCATCTCCTCCGCCAGTCTACCTACCATTGCCACTTAGAGCACCACCTCGCCCACAACATTTCTGCATACCCTCTTTTTATCCTTAGGTACCTACTGCTCCTGACAACCCCACAGCCGGCCCAAATGACCCAGATACCCCACCCGGCACCCCTGCAGGTCAGCGAGAGAAGCACCATATTCCTCGCTAGTACAACCTTCTATCCACAACCCTGCTTCTCCCACAGATCACGTGCCTCCAGACGGAGTCGTCACCCGTAGCGGGAGAGTCGTCCATACCCCTGCCCGTTATGTCTCACATGTGAGATACAACCCTGCCGACAACAAGTCTCCTGCAGCGCCCCAGGGGAAGGGGAGTATTGTAGTGGATCTCTCCCCTACAAACTACATCCGCATTCCAATGCGACAGTATCCTAGCAACCAAACGAGCGGGCCCAGGGGAGGGGGGGGGTGGTCACAGGGCTGCTACCGTATCCTAGCAACACGGGGGGCGTCACCACCTGCTACGTCTACCCTAGCAACGGAGTCAAGAAACCGGCGAGTTCCCACGGGTTTACTTCCTTAAACCCGGCTGCTGTGTATATAAGCTCGAATTCTCTCCAATGAGATTCATTCTGGCCTACGTTCCTGAACACGCAACACCTCCTCCAAGCAAGCTCCTCGCTGTCCAGCACTCATTCAACCTGGAGGACAGCAACACGCAACAACGCCTCTAACGAAGCTCCTGCACAGATACCTCTTCAAGCACGCTACTCACTGAACGTGTCTCTTGAGCAAGCTCCTCACCACACGGCATCTCCAGCACCAGACTGTCTTGTATACAATATATTCTATATAAGAAAACCTCCATCTAGAGTTTCTATCCATCCATCCTGAGTGCTAGACAACATAATATCCCGAACCCTATATACTAACCTAGAATAATGCACGATTAAAGCAGGCCGTTGTTAATGAAACATGGTGATGCATTTTAACGGTACCGATGTGTACTAACTTTAATACACGATTAAAAACTCTAGTTACTGAAACGTAGTGATACATTATAACACGACCTGTATGTATTGACTCGTGTAAAAGGAAAGATTTAAAGCAGTTTTCTCGTCTTGAGTTTATAAACTTTACGTTACTGTTGTATACACGTGATGGTGGCGGCTTGTGTGAATTAGAGGGGCTAAGAGATATTGATGTGGTAGGTGAATTAGTGACGGGCGGGAAGAGTGTGTCAGTGTATTCATTCTTGGTCGTGTTCACCTTCAGGGAACATGACACCTTCATCATAAAATTTGTTAAGGTTAATCTTAAGGCCAAGAAGTCCTCGTAAGAACACTACGGAAGGTGTCAGCGAGGAGTCACAAAGCAGCCCACAACATGAGGAGTCAACAGGTAGAGAACAACCAAGCAGGCTTCAGCCAAGTGTTTGTATCGTTAAAATCAATCAAGCGAGACTCATTAGTATCAGTTAAGCGTATGTTTTCCACTCAACAAGGACCCTCGCTACATGTACTTAATATATCATTCATCTATATTTGGATAAAATTGTCATGCCTGTGTATCTAAACAGACTTAGTGGTATTATAACAATATATTACTACATAAACGAATGCCTTTTATTGTATACGACTGACGCCTCTGTTATTATATACGACTGATACCTCTTTTGTTATTATCATACATACGACATCTTGAAATTCTCACTACTTGTTCAGTCATCTCGAAGATCAACACACTCAGGTAGTAAACAGTTCGTAGCTAACGAATATAACATCTCGGTGTGAGGACGTCAACAAATAACTGGCCGCCATGTTGTTGTCTACCATAACTCAGGTCTACCCGTGGCAATTACTTATGCAGTACTTATAAATATATATTGCATGATGTTTGACTGCTTATACTTATAACCATTTTATAAGATGTTTTATACTAATACTTGTAAAAATTTTATTAATAATACTGATAAAGATACTTGTATACGTTTTATCATCAATATTCATCAGTATTTCACGAGTGTGGAAATAGCTCGTTAAATTCCTATCCAGAGTAACGGCTGCTTAACACCACACAATAACTCCAGAGCTACAACCCCCTTTACTCTGTAGTAAGAACAGTCCTCTTGTTTATATTTATATATGTCTAATCTCTTGTTTATACTTCTGGGACTTTTGTAATAGTATCTAGAGAAGGGAGGCAGATATAGATAAATACATAGGTCATTCAGCTGTGTCGCTATTTTGTATTTTTTTTCCGTGGGTCAAGGATCTTTTGAGTAATGGCAGAGTGTGTGTGTGTGTGTATCTCACACACACACACACCCCGACCGACAAGCAAAAACACCCCACGTTATCCAGAATACTAAATATTTTTTGCGCTGTGTAGAACGAAAAATCACAAAAGCAAGAAAATCACTCTCTTTTACTCAGTCAATAGCGCGCCCTGAAATAAGTATGTCACAACGATAAAGTTCTTGGTGTAGTGTGGAGATATGTTGCTCAAAAATAACAGGTTATCTTAGATAACGTTATCTTCTTGTCAACGAGATGTATAATAACCCACATTGCGTATAAATAAAGGCTAATGTTTGGGTATAGAAATGTATAGAATTAGTGAACTATATGGTTTATTCTGATCGTCGAAATACTCTGAAATTATTACTAAAATTTTATTGATTACAGTAAATTTAAATTCTCTTGGTAACTGCTATATATAAACTTATTATATACTGTCTGTCTGGGTGAAATATTATCAAAAGGTCATTATAGTTAACTCAGAAAATAGCGAATATTTGATTTGAATTGTTTTGATGCCTAGTGTATGACTGTGTACTAGGCTATAGGCGTTGAAGCGCGGTGATACTTTTGCATTCATTATAATTTTTTTTTATTTAATTTGCGTACAAGTTATCGGAAATTTTATTTTATTTTTTTCTGTTACTTTATTCATTTTTATTTTATTATATATTTATATATTTTCTACTTTAATTTATCTACTTATAACTCACCTACTTTAGTTATATACAGTACTTCAGTTATTTATTTTTTTATCTATTTTAACTTATAAACTTATCTACTTCAATTTATTCTTTATCTATTTATTAACTTGTTCACCTCATTTAACAATTTACGTTTTATTCATCTTACTTCAAACATCCATAAATTGATTTTTTTTATTTATCTACTTAACTAATACTTATTACGTATTTGCTCTCGACTGTTGAATTTCGTCACCAGTTCACCACGTATGCAGTTGATTCACCTGAGGATTACCAATTATCATTATCTTCAGGTAGATAATGAAAGTCAACGCTCAAGGTATATTTAATTAAACTGGATAGCACAGCCAGACACTACCACAGTCAGATACAAGCAGTTCTGTGCCTTGAGATGACTTGAGGCTTATACCTGTATCTCAATTCTACTTAGTTTAAGGTAATATTATGTTTCTGGCTTTGGGTAAATTGACACTATGTAACTCTACTTTAAATAAGGTTAGTTTAAATCTACCTAGGTTATGATAATCCATCCTCGAAGATTATTCTAATTATTGCTAAATTTATTGGGATCACCTGATAATTAGAGTATGTTAGGTTAGGTTAATGCAAGGACATTTTTTTTAATCATGAGGTGAAATAAACTGCGGGGGGCTAATCTTCATGTGACTGCTTGTATGTTGAAAAAATAAAATACCAACAAACTAATGCTTTACTAACCCTTGATAATTCTAGCAAATTAAAAAATAAATAAATAAACATATATTTATCAAGACCCGAGGCGCCCCAGACACACCCAGTCATCTAAAACAACATATATCAATACTACACTTGAAAATGTGAAGAAAAAAATCTCAACTTTCCTGCATTTTTTTATCAGAGAGTTTGCTAGTGTAAATGGTCTTAGTATACGTGGTTAATAAAAAGCGTGAAGTTGAGCATAGAAAACATAATAACAACAATGATCTCAGTGACGACCTTAACACAGTTGGTTTGAGGGTGACGCCAAGACTGGTTAGTGTTGTGTTAGTGCTATGTATGTAATAGTGTTTTATTTATGTTAGTGTTGTGTTATTTATGTGTCCAAATGGGAGTTATGTTTGTGTTGTGTTATGTATGTGTTAGTGCAGTGTTATGTTTGGGGTTGTGTTATGTATGTGTTAGTGTTGTGATATGTTGTGTTAGTGTTATATTGTATTGTGTTAATGTTGTGTTATGTTTGTGTTGTGTTATAAGAACATAAGAACATAAGAAAATAAGGAGTTTGCAGTAGGCCGGTTGGCCGTGCATGGTAGCTCCTGTCGAGAGTTACTACCACTCTCATCATCCATGAATCTATCAAGCCTCCTTGAAATTCTTTCAGAGTTCCCGCACTTAATACAAAGTTGTTGCTTGTTCCACTTGTCCACCAATTTATCTCCCTCCTAAACCTAAACTTATCCAACTTGAATCCGTTGCTCCGAGTCCTATCCTGCTCGGATATTATAAGAACTTTATCTATATCCCCTTTATTGATTCCTTTCAATCTAATTTAAAACTTCTATCATATCTCCCCGCACTCTTCGTCTTCTAGGGAATGCAAGTTAAGTTTCTTTAACCTATCCTGATATGGAAGGTTTCTTTAAGTCCCGGAATCATTTGTCATTCTTCGCTGCACCGACTTAGTGAATTTATATCCATTCTATAATAGGGCACCAGAACTGAACCGTATAATCGAGGTGCGGCCTGACTAGCGCAAGATATAGTTGTGCAATAAGACCTCTGCACTCATGTTACTTTAACTTCTAGATATAAAACCCAATACTCTGTTTGCCTTATTTCGAACATTAACGCACTGTTTTCTAGGCCGTAGGTCCAGGCTTACAAGTACCCTAGGTCTCTTTCACAAGTCGACTTTCTAGGTTGATGTTGTTTAGGCTGTATACATTATAAGTATTTGTTCTTCCATTATTAAGTACGCTGCACTTGCTGGTGTTGAATTTCATTTGCCATTTTCAGACCACCCCAGCAGTTTATTTAGATCCTCCCAATGTATTTGCATCCTGCCCTGAATTAATTTGCTGCCCTATTTTGGTGTCATCTGCAAACTTGCTTATGTCACTGCTGATCCCAATATCTAGATCGTTTATGTAGATTATGAACAAGAGGGCTCTAGTACTGACCCCTGGGGAACCCCACTGGTTACACAGCCCCACTCAGATTTAACACCATCTACGCTGACCCTCTGCGTTCTATCGGTGAGCCACAATTTTATCCAATTTAAAACTTCCCCCTCGATACCATGAGCCTTAATTTTTCTCAGAAGCCTCTGATGCGGTACTCTGTCAAATGCTTTGCTAAAGTCTAAGTAAATAACATCGTATCTAAGTAAATAACATCGTAAAAGTAAATAACATCGTAACTAAGTAAATAACATCGTATGTGTATGTGTTAGTGTTGTGATATGTTGTGTTAGTGTTATATTGTATTGTGTTAGTGTTGTGTTATGTTTGTGTTGTGTTATGTATGTGTTAGTGTTGTGATATGTTGTGTTGGTGTTATATTGTATTGTGTTAGTGTTGTGTTATGTCAAGGTGTGTTAGTATTATGTTTATATTAGTGTTATGTTGTCAGAGATAAACATGCGTCTTTTTTTTTTCTTTCGTCTTGTGGTAATCTATGTTTATCGGTGTTAAAGTAGAGAGAGTGTTTAATTATACTGCTGTCAGGTGTCTTATATGGCACCTCCCGAGTATTATTCAGGCATCCTCGGGAGTATATTATCTACTCTGTAATACCTTGCAATATGTGTTGTACTTCTTGCCGTAGTTGTGTGTGTGTGTGTGTGTGTGGTGGATCATTGTTAAATCTCGTTAATGCACATAGCGATATTGTACAGTATGCTGCTATGTGGGAATCTGACCTCATGAGTGGAGAATATGACTCTGAGTGGGTTGGCTTACCTCCGAACTCTCTGCTGGAGTCTCATGATGTCTCTGCGCTTCTTGGTTAGGCCGCACAGGTCACAGTTGCAGTTAGTGTAGGGACAGGGTGTTTCTTGTGCGCTCTCTTTCTCTCATCACGCTGTGGTTCCTGCACATGTCGCACTTCTGGTGGTGAAAGAGAGTGTGTGTGTGAGTGAGTGAGTGGCAGATTGTGTGTGTGTGTGTGTGTGGGGGTGGGATTGTTTCAGAGTGACGGTGATTGTGTGTGTGTGTGTTGTAGACCAGTGTGAGAGGGACACTGTTACTTCCTCCTCCCCTCCTTCTTCCTCCTCCTCCTCTTCTCCTCCTCTTCCTCCTCCTCCTTCTCCTCTTCCTCCTCCCTCCTTCCTCCCCTTCCCATCCGTTCCTCCCACTCTCCTTACTTTCCCCAACCCACTTTTTCCTCCCTCCCCACCCTCAACCTCCTGCTCATCCCTCTCCCAACCTTCCTCCCTTCCCTGTACTTAATTTTACCCAATTCAGTACCTACCTTACCCACCCACCCTAGTACCTACCTTACCCACCCACCCCAGTACCTACCTTACCCACCCACCCCAGTACCTACCTTACCCACCCACCCCAGTACCTACCTTACCCACCCACCCCAGTACCTACCTTACTCCACCCACCCCAGCATCTACCTTACCCACCTAGTTAGTGCACCCAGTAGTCCCAGACACCCAGTACATATGGAGTACCAACTGTTGTTTACTGGAAGCAGCTATGTTCGCCCCACTTGAAGCACCGCCAGTAGCATTAGCAGCCAGTAACCATAACTTCGGCGTTCACACCTCCTCCTACACTCCAACTGCACCTCCTACTATTCTCCCTCCGCCTCTCCTCCTTCAGCAGCGTCCTCTGTCTGGCATCCTTCAGGTGTCGCCACAGACGCTGCTGGTGCTGCATGATGAGTCGGCTGAGTCTCGTGAGCTTACACAATAAATAACAGTCACAATCTCAAACTGGTACCAGGGTTGGTCTTGCGGGAGTGACGGCATGGTTAGCGCAGTACGTACAGTGTTGGATGACGCTTGTTCTTCTCCCTGTCCAAACCATTTGCCATATTCTGTCCACGGAGAGGGAAGAGAAGAGAGAGGGGGACAAGTTTAGCCTCTGGAATGTATATTGGGTTTAGAGAGAGGGGAGGGAGGAGGGGGAGGGAGAGAGAGGGAGTAGGGAGGGGACCATTTACATACAGTAAACAAATTATTTTTTAGGATAGGTGTTCTGTTCTCTCGTGTTTTACTTTCGTACTTATTAACCTTTATGTCTTATGTTCACTCGCTATAACTATTATATACTACTACTACTAACCTAAAACACATCTTCACTCTTTCAGTCCCACACATATGACCTTTGGACCTCAATTAAACTCTTCAAAATGTCACAATCACAATGTGAATGTTAGTCTGGCAAGTTTCAAATCAAGGACCAAACGCCATGGAATTCCTTCTCGGGGAAATAATAATAAGACTGACAAAGATAATAAGAGAAAAGTAATAGGAAGAAGAGTTATAATATAAAAATAACGATGATGATACGATAATAATAATAATAATAATAATAATATCACTTGGATAATCTTAGTAAGAAAGATAATACCAGTAATATTGATAATAGCTAGTAATAATAATATGATAATAATATAATACTAATGATAATAATAATAATAATAAATATTTTTCATCCTAAATATTCACATCCCTTTATCTTTTCTTTGCAACTTATTTTTTTCCACAATTAAGAATTTTCCAGATACTTTCGCCTGTTAATAATTTCCCAATACATATGACTGTACCGTGTGTATATTACCAGCAGGGAGGGAAGGACAAGGTGACTACGAGATAAATATTATGTTCTACTAAGCAAGACGTATTTTTTTTTGTAGGCTCAATCTCTCAAAGCAACTAAATGAGGAGATAGATTGAGGGAGAGTAACCCCCAAAAAATAGAGAGATAAAAATAGTTAAGGGAGAGGAAGTGAGTTAGTTGAGAGTAAAAAAGATAATTGAGAGAGATACAAATAAATAGTTGAGGGAGAGAAGAAATAAAATTATTGAGAGAGAGAGATAGAGAGTTCAAGAAGAGTAGAAAAACTAATTGAGAGAAAGTGATATAGAGATAAATATATGAGGAGAGAATAAAAAAGTAATTGAGAAAGACGAAGGAGATAATTGTAAAAAAATATTGAGAGAAAGAGAGAGAGAGAGAGAGAAATTAAGAGAGAAAAATAAGAGATAGTTGAGAGGATAGAGATTCTTCACTAGACTAGACAGTTGACGCTGGAAGATATTTTTATTAAAAATATTTGATGACATTTCATTGTCATAAATACAAAGATTATCGTTTAATGTTTATTTTTATTATTATATTATTCTCTCGTAAATACTAAAGGCGGCTGCTTTTTGTGTGTGTGTGTGTGTGTGTGTGTGTGTGTGTGTGTGTGTGTGTGTGTAAACTTATCTATCGGACCGTAAGTGTTCATTTCACCTGTAAGTCTTTTTTCTAATAGGTATGTAAAGAAGAAAATATATTTAATTTTATTGTAAATTATCAGAGGAATAAATGTTGTTGTGTTTTGAAGATAAAGATTACGTCAATGGTGGACGTTTATACATAAGTATACCAAATTTGTTGTTTTTATACACTAGCTTTTTAACCTGAAGATTAATCACCCTAACTTTTTTACGTAGCGTACCTTTAACCAACCTAACTTAACTCGGAATACTAACTATCCTAATTTTAACCTAGTCAACCTAACCTAATCTCAGCCTAATTTAACTTAACCTAACCTGAAGATTGAATTCAATTCAACTTTAACTTATCCTGCCTTTGACCTGAATATTAACCACCTTGGCTTTTTCCTAGCCTAGTTTAATCTAACTCAACCTAATTTAACTCACCCAACTTGAAGATTATACTCCAGGTTAATTCATAGGAAGATTAACTACCCTATCGTTAATGTAACTTAACTCAACCTAACTTGACCTAACTCTAAACTAGCCCCAGGTATTAGGGTGGTTAATTTCAGGTGAATAAACTGGGGTGTTTACTTCACTTATTTAAATACCTTAGTTGGTGAAGCTCAGAACTCATACAAACCAGTAGACTGGAAATAATACAGTATTATCTTTTATCTTTTTTTTATTTATTTTTTTTTTATAGAAACTGTAACTTGTTTGTAAAAGTGATGGTAGTTAGACAGTGTTGAAAGACTTTACTTGAGGGTGTTATTGTTTATAATTTTTTTAAATGTAAGTTGTGTGCGGTGAGATTTGACTCATTAAAAGTGTTGTCAGCAGTCACACCACGCAAGGACGGTAAAAACACACACACACACACACACACGTTTAATATAAATATATTGACATTTATACAAAATTGTTTATATGTTTTTATTTTAGGTTGATTAATGTAATTGAATAAGACTTTTAAACCTGAGTAAAAAATTAAATATAATTCGTTTTTTCTCAAAGGTCAATGTAGATAATAATGTAAGTAATCTTAAACTTTTCCTCGACATGGAGTATCTAGAACACGTAACCTGACTGTAATTTCAACCCATTCACAGGTAAGGGAATTGAATCTAGGAACTTAGGATCGGGTGAATGCTGTATCCACTCATCCTATTAACTTATTCC